ATTTGTTTTCATAAAATAAGACCTATTCTTCTGTATATCCATATTTCCAGAGACTGAGTTTGATTTTTCAGCTATTTTGTTTTTTTTAATTGTCCAGTTTCTGCACCATAAACTAGGGTTTAGTGAATTATTCTAATTTTTAAAGTGTTGTTTAACTCTTGTCTTCAGTTTCTCGTCTTCTTCCCTTCCTGTTTTCCCACTCGGGTATCGAGGGAGATTTTGTAGTCCTGCTTCGTGTTCTTCTGGTCGTCTCGACCATAGTCACATCGTGCCGTTGTAGACTTTCTCTGATGTTATCTTTCCATCTTACTCTTTGTCTACATCGTGCTCTATTTCCTTTTCCTGTTTCAGCATATAACGTGTATGGTCTGGCGTCACAAGGTATTCTCTCTAAGTTCCTAGAGCTTTATTTTGTGTGTGGGGACAGAATATATATCCCCCCCCCCCCCCTCCCCCTTTTTTTTCCTACAAATATGTCGCAGTGGCAACTATTTTTTTTTTTTTTTTTTTTTTTTTTTTCGGAGGAGGAGGCTGAAGATGCGTAGATATCGCAGCATAGCTGTGTACTACAACACAACACGCCATTTTGAGGACGAATACAGAAGATGAAGTTAGCAAATTATTTTATTTAATATTACTCTACGTTTATTGTTACTGGAAATAAACCTGTTAAACTGATGATCCTACATTACAGGTGTATGTGATAGTGTGGGTTCCGGAGAAGAACACACGAGGCGCCTTCACGACATCCAAAGATGTTCGTTGCCATATTGGTGTGGTGCCTATGACTTCTGGCCACAGCTTTGATATCAAGTATGTGATGAGTGTTTTATCCCCGAGCTTCTTTTTCTTCTTGTTCTTCTTCTTGTTGTTCTTCTTTTTCTTCTTCTTCTTCTTTTCCTCCGCCTCTTCGTCCTCGTCGTTCTCCTCCTTCTCCTCCTCCTCCTTCTTCTTCTTCATTTTTTTTTCTTATTCTTCTTCTTCTTCTTCTTCTGCTTCTTCTCTGCTTCTTCTTCTTCTCTGCTTCTTCTCCTTCTTCTTCTTCTTCTTCTTCTTCTTCTTCTTCTTCTTCTTCTTCTTCTTCTTCTTCTCCTTCGTTTTTCTCTAATAATATAGGCCCTTTTTTTAAATATCGTCAGCTAGCGTTATCTTGAGTCGCATCAAAAGTGAGAAGACGAGGATGAGGAATAAAAAGACACAAAAAAATATGAAAATTAAGACACAGACGCAGAGGGCCTTTTAGGGTGGTATAAGAAAAGGGGAAAGTTTACATGATCCAGTTGACACCTGGAACTGAATGAAGTATATGATACTAGTGTCCGTAATTTATAGCCAACTAATCAGGTGGATGATTAATTAAACATAACACAAATATTTACTTTCTGTGACAATTTCCTGATAACAGTTTTAGGCTGTGTTCGACCAGGGAGGCCAGGTAAATTTCTTTGTAAACTTCATGTCCGTGTCAGCTCGTGCCAATCACCATTCGGCCAGCAGGCCAAAATGCAGTATACTGCAGGGGTGCTGGAACCTCGGGGTGCTGGAATCTAGGGTTGCTGGAACCTGGGGTTGCTGGAATCTTTGAGTGCTGGAACCTATTGTGATGAAAACTTGGGGTGCTGGAACCTAGGGGTGATGAAAACTTGGGTGCTGGAACCTCAGGTTGCTGGAATCTTTGAGTGCTGGAACCTATTGTGATGAAAACTTGGGGTGCTGGAACCTAGGGGTGATGAAAACTTGGGGTTCTGGAATTTAGGAGTGATGAAAACTTGGGGTGCTGGAACCTAGGGGTGATGAAAACTTGGGGTGCTGGAACCTAGGAGTGATGAAAACTTGGGGTGCTGGAACCTAGGGTGAGGAAAACTTGGGGTGCTGGAACCTGGTGTTGCTGGAATCTTTGGGTGCTGAAACCTAGGGTTGCTGGAATCTTTGGGTGCTGGAACCTAAGGGTGATGAAAACATGGGGTGCTGGAACCTAGGGGTGATGAAAACTTGGGGTGCTGGAAACTATGGATGCTGGAACCTAGGGGTGCTGGAATTTATGAGCGCTGGAACCCAGGGGTGCTGGAACCTTGACGTGCTGGAACCTAGAGGTGCTGGAACCTAGAGGTGCTGGAATCTAGGGGTGCTGGAACCTAGGGTTGCTGGAACTTGTGGTGCTAGAACCTTAGGGTGCTGGAACCTAGAAGGGCTGGAATCTAGGGATGCTGGAGACGGTTTGAATCTGCTGAAAGGCTTGGGATTTTTTCTTTCGGTGGCAAAAATACAATCCTCTCCTGCACAGTTCGTGGCGACAGCAGTGGACATGCGGCCTTAAATCCTCAGGCTCTAAGACACCCCTGCCTACACCACAAAAGTGGTATTTAATAAAGATAGTACTTGACTGGTTTTATTAGGACATATTTCTACGATTTGAGGCGTATTGGTAAAGGATGCTTGCTTGTTTTTGTGGACCAGTCACTACTAGATGTCACTACTGTGGTCAAGCCTCAGGCCAGCCTGTTTATTACTCTGCTGTTTGACCAGATTTACAATTCACTTTGATGGGATTTCAAAACTATTACACTCTCGGTCGGCACTGGTGCTAACTATTTTGCTACCGACTTTGCCATTATGTAATGTAAAGTCTCACTGGGGAATCGGAATGTAGTTTTAACATATATCAAGGACAGGGATCTTGGACAGCAAGGAGCCAAGGAAAGAGATCTAGACTTTTACTTAAGATAGTTGCATTATTTGGTATCGAATCTATAATCACTAAACCCTTTGAACAAGCTAAGATCAACATGCAGAAGATATAATATGAATATAAATTACGACTAAAATTGAAATAATGCAGGTCGGTAGAATTCCTAGTCCGCTACATGTCGGGTTGAATGGTACTAGTCTGAAGCAAGTTCAAGAATTTAAATATCTAAGAAGTGTGTTCTCGGAGGACAGGAGAATAGCTCGGGAAGTAGAAGCCAAATGCCAACGAGCCAGTGTGCTTATATACCAAGTGGCACAGTTAGCGGGACATATAAACATATGTATGAGCGCCAAGAAACAGATTATGTACAGTATATGCATACCAACATTGTACTATCAGTGCTAGAATTGGATACTATGAAAGACTAACCTTCGTAAAATTAACACCTGTGAAATAAGATGCCTGAGAAAAGCCGCTAATCATCCTAGAAAACAGTTGGAAATTATATTATCAGACAGACTGTGGAAATAATAATAGGCAGCAAATTCACTGAGAAACAGAATATCAGATGGCTGGTCATCTAGTAAGAATAAGCAACCACCACCATCACCACCAATACTACTACGTTACCAGCACCACAATTTGTACAACTATCACCACAGCTACTACTGCTGCTACTACTCTTACCACAACCATATCTTTTAGCACTTGGTAAGTTAAAATACGGTTAGACCAATTCGCTTTAAGAAAAAACACACTCGGTTAACTTGGACAAAATGTTGGTTGTAGCGGGACTGTCAGTAAAACACTGTTAACACGAAAAATCAAGAGTTCGTCTTAAAGACTTCATGCTAACAGGGACTAATAGTAATGATATTTTTTTTTTTTTTTTTAATTCTTAGAAATTGTTACACTCGCAAACATAGTTAAGGAAGGGAGGGCTTCTCTTTACCCCCTTCCCTACATATGGATGGGGTGGGGTTAAACAAAAAATTGTTCGTTAGTTCAGACGAAATTACTGCCAAATTTGTCAGCCAAGCTAGAGTCACCTCTTTCCGTATAGAATGAGAAACACAAGTGAATTACTCAATGTAACTGACAGCTGGTTAGCCGGATAACACATTCCTGGATAAGGTCAGATGTTTGATGTAAAGGTTAAGGTTAAATCCATGTAATGGAACGCATCGTTTTTTCCTCCTCATTCTCGCTCTTTTTCTTCTTCATATTTCTATTAGAAGGCCAGCAGCCTTGATGAAGGTCATCGTACGACCCAGATCTCCTTGTGTAATGTACGGTTTTTGTCTTGATTTATGTAGTAACAAGTCAGATAGCTTTGATTTCAGCTTCATGCCTTTGACAGGGTTCGAGTACATACTTGCTTGAGTGTGTGTGGGTGAGAGAGAGAGAGAGAGAGAGAGAGAGAGAGAGAGAGAGAGAGAGAGAGAGAGAGGACAACTAAGAAAAATTTATAGACTATTAGCTAATACACACCCACACACACGTGTATCTGTGTGCGGTGTATGTGTATGCGTGTGTGTGTGCGCGCGTGCGCTTGCGTGTTTCTTTGACGTCTGACTACGCTATAGGTTCGGATCCTGATAGAGCCGTATTTTTTTATGACATTGGCTCTCAGAGATCGATCTATCTTTGAATGAGTAGCATGTACAGTCCTGGAAAGTAAAAGCGGCCGGCGTGATCTAACTAAACTTATTTTTTTCTTTCACCTAGGGAGAGTAGCACGTTAGCCGCTTTAAAGAAACTAGGCAAGTCTCCAGCGCGACACTGGAGGCAGAAAGCCTTGAACCACAAGAGGTTGAGGTAAATAAAATGTCCACAAATACTTTCTAACAATTATCTCTAACATTCTGGTCTCTGAAGGCACAGGCGCCGCCACCTGGAAGCTTAAGATTCGTAAGCCCCCATCCTAACCAGTGAGGGAAATGTGAGGGGAGTTGGTGGAGGAGGGAGAAGGGTAGCCCTCCCTGGCCTAACCATATTTAGTTGTTACTTTTTGTTTTCTACGGATTTTAAAGAACAGATTTTTAGGCCCCGATATCACGAAGTTTTTAACATTCATTCTTAAATGTGCAACCCTCTGAATTCGCGTTAACGATCTTTTACTCAGTCCCACTGGGACCAACATTTTGTTCATGTCAACAAAGGATTTTTCTTAAGCTAATTTGTCTTAATGTGGTTTTACTCAGGAAGTGACAGAGATTGTGGTAGGCATGGTGGTAATAGTTGTAGCAAGCGTGTTGGGAGGGGGGTGGGGGTGGTGATCCGCCAGGCATTACTGTTTTTGACCATTAGTTGTTGTCTGTACATGAGTCTGAGTACCTGGCTCACGGATCTCAGGCGAGACTCCCTATATACAGAAATAAATAGGCATATAGGGAAGGCCTCTGTAATGTTTTCAAATCTCACTAAGAGAATACAGGTTTGTGGGTCTTATGTCTTGAGAACACTTCTGTACGGCAGTGAATCCTGGACTCTGAGTACTGAGTACCTTCCACATGCCCTGCACGAGGCGCATTCTTAGTATATCATGGCGAGACCTTGTCTCCAAAGAATGTGTACTCACAAAAGCAAAAATACCATCATTGTACTGTCTACTGAAGCATGCCGTGACATGTCTCCGGCATTGAGGATGGTCGTATTCCAAAGGACTTGCTGAAAGCAGGCAACAGACCTACAAATACCAAAGCTACGTTGTAAAAACACATGAAAACAAACAAGATAGATGCCAACATAGCCACAAAGAATTGGGACAAATCGACTACAGATCGACCACTATGGCAACAGAATACGGATTGTCGCATTTCGAAAGAAACCAAACGCAGCGAGCTATAGAGAGGAGATCGTGGAGAGTAAATCAGATTCATAGCGAGACTGCCACTCCCGCATCGGACTTAACAGTCACAGCAGATGCTGTTTCCAAAGCAAATGGTACATATCCATAGTCCCCGGGGACTGACGGATGCTATTACGCCAATAGTTGCAGCAGCGGTCGTAGTGGTGTTGATTGTAGTGCAAATAGGGGTGGTGGTGGTAACGTAGTAGTAGGCGTGGTGGTAGTGACGGTAGTAATTGTGGTGGTGGCTTTAGTGGTAGGAGTGGCAATAGCAAGAGGACATTCAGTGTTTCTTCTTTATATATATATATGGTGTGTGTCAGGTGTGTATTTGTTTTCTTGTTTGTGAGAGAAATGGGAGAGGGCACATGGATGTGTGTTTGATCAGTTGTTTGTATTTCTTCGTTGTTATATGTGTCATCAATCATTTGTGTGTGTGTGTATGTGTGTGTTTGGTAAATAAATGTTTGTCTTCTTAATTACATAATTCTTGATTTTTAATTTTTCTTCTACTGTTAGTGCAGTCTTGTGAATTATCAATTAATACGTTCAGAGTTATTGTTTACTTTATAGCGTGAAATTGTTTCTTTCCTTGGCTTGACAAAGAATATGAAAATATTACTTCGTTGTTGAAATTATTGTCTTAATTCTTTTTGTACACAGGCTGGTTATGCAGCATACTACACAATCAATGGACCCGACTCCATACATGAATCATGGAGTGCTTTCAAACCACTCAGACAGCAGAAGCACTTCTTTTCTAAACAGAAAAACGAAAGCTAACTGCAGAACAGATTCACTTAGTGGTACTACCACAGTCAGCTGCTGCCCAGAAGCGGAAAATCTCCTTGCAGAAGAGCCTGCATCTTTATCTGATGCGGAGGTGATTCGGCAAAACCTGGCCGGAGACTTTCCACTGAAAAGGCGCCCAGTAACCCTTCGACCTGGGTCTCCAGCAGAGAAAGAGAAGCATAGAATCAGCAACGCAGATCGTGTTGGGGATTTTGATGAGCTCCTAGAAATGAAAATGTTACATGTTCCTGGAAGGTTTGGCAGGCTTGCAGATGTCAGGAAATCCCTGTCTTCTACATGCGTGTCAGGCTGCCCAAGTGTTGTTAGTGTCCAGTGCCAGACCACTGATGACCTAATTGGAGGTGTCCTCCCTCCACTACGAAGAAGATGTGTGGTTACAAATAAAAGCAAGTTGAAACGATCAACCGTCACTGAGGATGTAACCGATCCAAAGACCTACTTTAGAAACGATGCCAAAATTCACAGTCATGGACACAAACGGGACATTGCCACCTCTGAAGTTTATGAATCATCCAGTGATTGTGTTCATAGTTCTGAGATATCAAAACCTGCTTCTCATTCATGTCAAATTGATGACAACAAGGATACATTTCGCCTTTTACAAACTGCCCGTGAAGAACCAACACACTTGGACACATTCTTTGAAAATCACTTTCACCAGCATAACAGTAAGCAAAATACGTATGAGCCCTACTGCCAAAATGACATCGATAGTTATGCTGGTAAAAACTCTCCCTACGTATCCCCACTTGTGTTGACTGCAAATATACAACGAATAAATGAGCCGATAGAGTGTTCAGCCTCCAACTTCATAGACAAACAAAACCCTTGTGATAATTATACCAGTCAAAAACACAATATTCAGTGCGAGACCCTTTCAAGACATCTCCCTTTGACTAGTTTGGAGAATAATGCATTGCCCTTAGATGAAGATGCAAGTGAACCTATCCAACGTCCTCATAGCAAAATGTCATCGGCATCAATAACCCACCAGAATAGCTGTTCTTCATCAACTGTCAGTATGGTCGCCTCTTCTTCATTCACAATCCCTGCCTTCCTTAGCAGCACAGACAGTGATGCAAGTCAACGAACATTCAACGATTCTTTACAAAGTTTAGACCTTCAACAGAATAACCATGGTTCTCAGCAAAAACTTCACAGTTATCAAGAAGGGAAAGAATTCACAGATTTACACACAAACGGAAACTCAGAGCTTCATGGCAATAAAATTATAGATTCTACTAGTAAAACATCAAATCTTTCATTTGAAGATTCAGACAATGTAGCAGACGATGTACTAGATTTCCATAAGTATTTACAGGGACACGGGGTACAACTAGAACTATCCACAGTTCAATCTAGTGACCTCTGAGCTTGCCAATAAATTGTATTCTCTCTTATCTGTTTATATTTAAAGTTGAATATTCATTAAAAACAATAATGTCCTTACACGCACAGGAGTGCAGGCTATACCAGGTTGGTGTATCTCTTACGTGTGCCCCAAATTATCATTTATTTAAGGTTGATCGGGGCATCTGGAATTTACCCTATTGGTCTACCATCCATATTGAGATTGTGTAATCTCGGTAATCTCAGGAAACTATCCTCCAATTAGTTGTAGCAACGAAGTTGGGCCCAGCTACACACCAGCTGACCTTTCACTGATGCTTGTTCAGGCTGGTCTACGTTGGGAGGGTGTCACGGTGTACTGATGTCTTCGCAAAGCTTTCTGCGTTGCGTGTTAATCGTTGCTGATTGAGCAGAGACCGCCGACATTGCGTTTTCACTCGTAAGCATAATTAGTGTTTGTTGCCAGGAGGAGGGTACCGTTGCGTTTCTGGGGCAACACAGCGTTTTGGGAGCCACCGCAAAATGTTAAGAAGTCTGAAACCACGGGGTGTAGAATGCACTATTTCGTGGGTCCTAGGCTCAGTCTTTGTGGGTGTGTGGGGAGGGGGTGGGTAGGGCCATGTGTACATGTTATGGGGTCGTTAAAACCCCTCACATCTTGTAATATACAGCACGCGCGGTCGCAGGTACGACCGTCGATAAAATACAACCTGTCACCAACCTGACACCCCTGCCACTTAGACTTATGTCTCTCAAAGGTTAAGAGGCTTCAATGAACGTCCAATCACGTCTCGGTGGGCCAGAATTCGTTATTAGACAGTCAGTCTGGTGGCTCCTTCAACGTTAACATCTTTTTACCTTAATAAGATCGTCCACACTGGGCAGCGTTTAGTTAATTAGTTTTTAGTTGGTTGGTTTGGTTTGTCATTTAGTTAGATAGGTAGTTAGTCGAAGTTCCATCTTCATTGCAAACAGGTTACCCCACAACTGCTGCGTTCCACTGCCAGTAAAAATCACACAAAACCTCATTTAACTGTCCCATTTAAAAACTATAGAAAATTATATCAGTCCCAGTTAAGTCTTGTAGTTTACATAGGCAAAGTAAATGCATAAGGCAGCTGTGGGATGTGTCAACACTAGTAGTCCCATACCAGAATTTCTCCTCTGTTGATGCAAGAAATTAAATACGAAAGCCAATATTGTACACACTATATTGACAGCAGGTTACTTGGGAACCCCAAGGTGCCTCAAAATAACTGTTGTAACGCTGAACTTGGATTATGGGATTTGCACCGGTTTGATTCCCATTCAAAAAGTGGCTGTGTGAATAACAGGTATCAGTCTCTCAGGCTGCAGCCTCAGAAGAGAATTGGGGCTCCAGTTGTAACTTTTGACCCTGTTGGCTTGCTATCCAGATTGAGATTGTTGTCAACTTGAGGTTGTCAATCATTCTGGTAGTATTGTCACCTCGAGGTTGTCAATCATTCTGGTAGTATTGTCACCTCGAGGTTGTCAATCATTCTGGTAGTATTGTCACCTCGAGGTTGTCAATCATTCTGGTAGTATTGTCACCTCGAGGTTGTCAATCATTCTGGTAGTATTGTCACCTCGAGGTTGTCAATCATTCTGGTAGTATTGTCACCTCGAGGTTGTCAATCATTCTGGTAGTATTGTCACCTCGAGGTTGTCAATCATTCTGGTAGTATTGTCACCTCGAGGTTGTCAATCATTCTGGTAGCCCAAATGGACACTCTGTGGTGGCTGTTATTATTATTGTTGTTATTATTGTTATTATTTGCCTTAGCATTAACTGGTTGTAAAGGTAAAAAAAAAAATTGAAGAGTCACAATGTGTGAACCACCGTCATTGCACACGGTTATAAACAATAAGTGCTCTGACACCTGTGCGGACAGTTTATAAGAAATTGTCCGCCTGTGTCGCCGTCCGCACGAAACTCCATAGCTTCAGCGGCGTTCCTCCATTGACCCCAGAGTGTTAACTCTGGTACCCATTACCTAGAGCAGGGATATTTAACTGGCGGTCCGCTGGCCAAATGAGGCCCGCCGAGGCCTAGCAAGTGGCCCGCCGATCGTTGCCAAAATAGCGAAATGTAGTTATTAAATATTTAAAAAATTAATCAATGTTTCTGTATATTCTTCAAAAACCAGTCGTGTCGAATGTGTTAATATGAAGTATTTGTCAGAAATCTGTAAATGCGAAGATACAAGGGAACCGGCATGGGAACAGAAAAATAATTAGATCAGGGTAAAAGTTCGTTCCCAGTTCATTCAAATAGCAAAACTCGCCTGCACAGGACATTCAATGAAAGTGAGATATTTATTGGACGGGATGTGTACGGAAATACCAGCACGGTCATGACAGTTAGAGCTTGGATTACAGAGAATCTCTCCTTAATGGGCGCCACTAGTACACACAAACTAATGACATTGGATGTAGCAGAACATCAGACACTGGACACGGCAGAATACCTGCTAGTGGTCTTGTTATCCGAATATAACGTCCAGAAGAACGTCCAGTCACATACATAGTCACAGTCAGACGTAGATTGCCGGACGCGAGTACAGTCTTGTCTTGTCTTGTCCACAATTGCCTCACAGCGTAGTAGGGAGTCGCAATTTTCTATCCTGGGCCAGGTGTGTTGCACGTGTTGTTGTTAGTCCGTGTTGCTTCAGGATCTCTGATATATTGTCTATCCATCGTACTCTCGGTCTGCCTCTTGCTCTAGGGCAGTAGTGCTGTTCGTTGTATGCTCGTAGAGGCAGTTGGTCAGTTTGCATTCGCATCAAGTGACCAAACCACTCTATTTGTTGCTTCTTTATGTATTGCAGGCATGGTGTGGTTCCTACAATTGCTCTAATGTTCTCGTTTCGAACTCTGTCTCTCCTTGTGACATTGGCAGCCTTACGTAAGCATCTCATTTCGCACGTCGTGATCTTTTTCTTCTGTGCTCTTGTTAGGGACCAGGTTTGGCATTGGTAGCAGAGGGTTGGTATAAACATGCAATTTATCAGTTGTCGTTTTAGTGCAATAGTGATGCTTGGGTGTTTTAGCAGTGGGGAGAGTTGGTAAGTTACTGCGTTCGCCTTTTGACATCTTGCCTCAAGTTCCCTATCAATTCTCCCATCATCTGTGAATATGCTCCCCAAATATTTAAATTGCTGCACTTGTTTGAGTTGTTCGTTGTTAACTTGAATAGTTAGTATATTAGGTGTTCTACTTATTTTCAGAATTTCTGTTTTGGTGATGCTGATATTCATGTTATATTCGTTGCAGACTGTGTGTAGCGCATTTACGTGGATTTGAAGTTCTTTTTCGTTTTCATGTATTATTCTTTGGTCGTCTGCGAAAAGTATTTCGTTCAGTTGGGGATGTACTTCTTCAGGATCGGCGTGTATGTTTTCATTATAATGATCTTTTTCAACTAACTCTGACTCACTGCTTGGTGTAGTTAACAGTTCGCTTATCATTACATGGTTTGCTGCTGTTGTTATTCTGTCCATGTATATATTGAATAGTAGTGGTGATAGTACACAGCCCTGTCTTACTCCTGTTCTTAGTATGAATTCGTCTGTCACACCAACATTTGTTCTAACTACGCTTGAGCTTGTTTGGTACAGAGATCTGATGTTGTCTAGTAGCTGACCTTGTACTCCATAGTCGTTCAATATATTCCATAGTTTGTTCCTGTCTACCCTGTCAAAGGCTTTTTCTTGGTCAATGAATGCTATATTGAGTTGTCCAAAAAGAAATCCTATTAAACACATCACTGAAATAACATGACCGATCACGCCGCCATCTTGGATATGAACGACGGTACAGTAACAAACTGAATCAGTAACAGTGTTTTAAATTATCTACTTTTAATAATTTAGTTAAATACTTGATGCCATGACTAGCACTAGTGAGCGAGCAAAGTGGGAATGTGAAAATCGTGCATTCAGCAGTGACTGGACACTGAAATATTTATTTATATCACCAATTCAGCCTAATTCAAAACCAGTATGCTTGCTAATTTATTTCTTTAAAACTGGACTCGGCAACCTTAAACGATTGAATGATATAAATATTTGTAAAAGTTTCAGAATCATTTCAACAACAGATTTGACGACTTCAGTATATCAAACAATGTAATGTTATTCGTTCGAGATCCTTTTAAAATCACTCCTGCGGGTGATTTTTCATCCAATGCTAAGAAGTTGATATCCTCTGTTGATAAAGGTTCTCTGCAATTAGAACTTGTGGATATGCAAAGTTCCAGCGCAGTGAATGAAAAATTTTCTAGAAAGCGGTACCGTCAAGTTTTGGTACAAGAGAATTCAACACGAGCAATTCCCTAATGCTAGAAAAATTACTGTATTCTTACTCACCATGTCTGGCTCAACTTTCACTTGTGAATCAAGCTTCTCACACATAAATCTAATCAAGACAAACAGTCAGAGCTCACTGAGCAATGATAGGCTGCAGGATTGCATAAGAATTTCTCTAACTTCTCACCAGCCAAATTTGGCAAAATTAGCCCAAAAAACGAAAATGCAGCATTCCCATTAATTACATTTTGCATCGTTATACTTTCGGTTTCTTCTGCAGAACATGAAACCAACTGTGAACATTTATTATTATTATTGTGACAATGTAATGGAAGTGGCAAAGGTAACGTTTATTTATGATCGCAACAACAAGTTGGAAATAAGTGTATTTCAATTAAAATTGATCCCCGTGTGGGGGGCCCTATTGTGGGGGAAACGAGAATAGACCCACAGCCTACCCAAAAGAATGTCACAAGAGTCGACTAATTAGGAGCTTTCTTCAAAGTCGGAGTATATCTGCCTGAGAGCCAAGGAACCAAGTCTGCATGCAAATGAGTAAGACGTGTAAAACGGATCTGTACGCAACACGCAGTTTCTGGAACAGGACTAGAGTCCAGAAGTAGACGTACAACCAGAACTTTCCGCTGGAGTTTACAGCCTTTGAATACGAAGAAGAAGAAGAATTGAAAGTGAG